TTGTTGAAAGAAAACTAAAAGTTTGTTGAAAGAATAATAATAAAAGTAATAATAATCATAATAATCTTTATTTCTACAAGTACAGTGGACCCCCGGTTTACGATATTATTTCATTCCAGAAGTATGTTCAGGTGCCAGTACTGAAAGAATTTGTTCCCATAAGGAATATTGTGAATTAGATTAGTCCATTTCAGACCCCCAAACATACACATACAAATGCACTTACATAAATACACTTACATAATTGGTCGCATTGGGAGGTGATCGTAAAGCGGGGGTCCACTGTACATGTATAAAGACAGTGATTAGGTATGAGTGATGGTGAAAGTGTTGAATAATAATGAAAGTTTTTTTTTCTTTTTTGGGTTGTTCTTTCTTTTGGGTCACCCTGCCTTGGTGGGAAATGACCGACATGTTAAAAAAAAAATGTACACAGTATACAGGACTAGCTGACATCAATGACATATTACTATATAGAAAGCCCCTTGTTATGCAGAGCATTTCAGACAAATTAGGTCAGTTCTGTCCCAGAATGACCCCACACCAGTCGACTAACACCCAGGTACCCACTTTACTGATGGGTCAACATGGATAGCAGGTGCCTTGAGAAAACATGTCCTAAAGTTATGTGCCGTGACAGGGAATTGAACCCCAGACCTCAGTGTGAGAGCTGAGTGCGCTAGCGATCAAGCTACAGGACACCTGCACCCTGCCAACCATGAAGAAAACTTTAGTGACTAAATCTATTCCCCATATAAAATAATATGTATTATTTCTTAAATTTTTGATGCATAAATTTTTTCAACTACAGTGGAACCTCAACTTACGAGTGTCCCAACATACAAGTTTTTCGAGATATGAGCTGTCACTAGGTCAAATTTTTGCTCTGAGTTACGACCCAACGTCCGAGTTATGAGTGAGCTTCTCCCACTTCCCCCTCAACCCACCTTGCTTGTTTATTTCTGATTTCATGCTTTAATTCCATGAACATCATCATCTTTTTCTTCTCAGCACTGTCCCTTGTACTTACTTTCTTAGGACCCATGGCTAGAAAAAAGAAATTTGGCAAAATGACTATACACAATGCAAGTAAACACGAGAGAAATGCTTCCACAGCAAGGTAAACAGTGCACTGTGCCAGTTAGCTGCCTTCTGAAGCTCCTTGTCATTATAATAATACATAATTATTATTATTAATTTAGGGAACTGAAGCTCACTCATTATTATAATTATGTATTATTATTATTAATTTAGGGAATTGAAGCACAGATCCAATTCCCTAGATCAAGAGCCCCTCACCAGCACCAAGGTTCCTTGATGCTGGTGAGGGGCTCTTGATGTAGGGAATTGGATCTGTGCTCCAGTTCCCTAAATTAATACAGTGGAACCCCAGTTTTCATCTGGTCTGGTTATTGTACAATTCAGTTTTCGACTACTTTTTTTGGTGAATTTTTCTCCATTTTTGTACATCCACTTAGAAATTGTCTGTACCAGATGCATCTGCCTGCCTGCGGGATGCGGCTGCTCATAAGTTCGTGACTCAGTCTGTCTTTGTTACTCGTACAGGGTGGTAGTGATGGTGGTAGAGGGTGGTAGTAATGGTGGTAGAGGGTGGTAGTGATGGTGGTAGAGGGCGGTAGTGATGGTGGCAGAGGGTGGTAGTGAGTTTACCTGGAGAGGGTTTTGGGGGTCAATGCCCCTGCGGCCCGGTCTGAGACCAGGCCTCATGGTGGATCGGGGTCTGATCAACCAGGCTGTGAGGGTGGTAATGATGGTGGTAGAGGGTGGTAGTGATGGTGGTAGAGGGTGGTAGTGATGGTGGTAGAGGGTGATAGTGATGGTGGTAGAGGGTGATAGTGATGGTGGTAGAGGGTGATAGTGATGGTGGTAGAGGGTGATAGTGATGGTGGTAAAGGGTGATAGTGATGGTGGTAGAAGGTGGTAGTGATGGTGGTAGAGGGTGGTGGTAGTGATGGTGGTAGAGGGTGGTGGTGGTGATAGTGGTAGAGGGTGGTAGTGATGGTGGTAGAAGGTGGTAGTGATGGTGGTAGAGGGTGGTGGTGGTGATAGTGGTAGTGGTGATAGTGGTAGAGGGTGGTAGTGATGGTGGTAGAGGGTGATAGTGATGGTGTAGAGGGTGATAGTGATGGTGGTAGAGGGTGATAGTGATGGTGGTAGAGGGTAGTGGTGGTGATAGTAGTAGAGGGTGATAGTGATGGTGGTAGAGGGTGGTAGTGATGGTGGTAGAGGGTGATAGTGATGGTGGTAGAGGGTGGTAGTGATGGTGGTAGTGGTTGTGACAGTGGTAGAGGGTGGTAATGATGGTGGTAGAGATTACCTCTCCTCCCTCTCCCCTCCTCGCCATCTTCCATACACTAACAAGAGTCTTTATATTTATTTCTCATTGTTTTCTGTATGTAAAACTATAGTTATTCTCTATAAAATGTATTTTTTGTTAATATTTTTGGGTGTCTGGAATGGATTAATTTGATTTACATTATTTCTTATGGGAAATATTACTTCAGTTTTCGTACAAATTAGTTTTCGACCGACCTTCTGGAACGGATTAACAATGAAAACTGGGGTTCCACTGTAATAATAATAATTATAATAATAATAATAACAAGGAGCTTCAGAAGGTAGCCAACTTGTGCAGTGCACTGTTTACCTCACTGTGGAAGCATTTCTCGTGTTTGCTTGCATTTTGTGTAGTTATTTTGCCAAATTTCTTTTTTCTAACCATGGGTCCTAAGAAAGTAAGTGCAAAGGGCAGTGCTGAGAAGAAAAAATGATGATGTCCATGGAATTAAAGCATGAAATTATAGATAAACACAAGCGAGGTGTGAGGTATGCGGGTTGTTTGCGAGGCAGTATGAGCATAGTAAGTACTTCTATGTTGGTACTGCCTCGCATTAAGAGTG